CAATTCAGAATTATGATATAAACTTACGTCTTCAACTTTCGAAGATTTAAAAATTATCAACGAAAATTCTACTTTTTTAGATTTGTCAATAAGATCAATTCTGATTTGCATACAAATATCAAATAATTAACCAACAATGATCATTTATGCTTCTTTTTCAAAATCAGATAGTTGTTCTTTCATTACATCATCTTGTTCCACATCTCTATTGTATTATCCAAAACTTAGCAGTTGCTTTCCTTTTTCAATTGTTGTGTTAAAATTAGTATCTGCTAATGACATAGTCACGTGTCAACTGTATGACCAAGTATTTAATCAAAGTATATTTATAAAATCGTCAAAAACTAAATATATATCAATTAGTGTTTCGGGCGAAACTAGTTTCTCTAAATTGATCTGCAAAAATCATTCCAAATTTAGGGTTTCAGAGGTTTCGGATAGTTTCGGATCATAGAAAAATTCTCTGGGCGAAACGTTTCGGATGTTGAAAAATAGTTTCGCCCGAAACACTAATATCAATAAAATGAATAAATCACAAAATTTATAAATCAAAAAAGCAAAATACTTTATGGTTATTAAAATTAGTATATATCAATGCTTAATAAAACATATTTTAATAATTATTAGATTAAACTAAATAATTATTAATATTATTATTTAAATTATAAAAAAAATTTTATTATTAAACATTTTATTATATTATATTAAGACTATTAATTTATTAATAAATCGGCTATGTTCTTGTTTACAAATTGGATTTGTAATTGGTGCGAAATTTTATTTCAAATGTAACATTATTGCAATCTTTTTAAACCATTTAATGTTGCTTTACACATTTTTTATTTATTTCTACAAAAATACAATACTTTATCTTGGAACGTTTAATAATATTCAAAAAAGCTTTTGTTTATGAAAAAAAGCATTTACATTATTTTATTTACATTTAAGGATGCTGCTCGGATATTGTTATTGTTTCGCAATAAGGTAATGATTTTCGTGAATATAGTGTCTTTTTGTAAAACAAATGTCCATGCGATATTATACTGGGAAAATTATCTATAAATACTACCATTAGTTCCACTCTCACCTACAACTAAGAATAATCATAATAAATAAATTTTGAAAGTTTCTTTTTATTTACTGAATTTTATTTTGAAACATGTCGGTAAGTAATCTATCATGATGTTATGTTTAAATGATTTTTCATCGGCTCAAAGGTGGGGTGGTTGTTTTAAAGGCCAATATTTATACTCCTTTTCTTACATAACTTTTTGATTATATATTTTAGAAAAATGATGGAATAAAATACGAAATCGAAACATACAAAATCATTGATTCGTCAAATAACATACATGCTTGGACGACCAACGTTAGATTGGGACAAGGAGATAAAGGAGTTGATATCGTTGGAAATTACAAAGACATGCAATTTATCATTCAATGCAAAGATTTTGCCAAAAAATTGAGCATTAGTCATGTGAGAGAATTGAATGGAATCATGACCAATAATTCCAATTTGTTGAGGATAATGGTTTCAAAAGGGGGTTTACGAAAAATGCATTGGATTTCGGGAAAAGGAATAAAGATTTGATTCTTACAGATTTAAATAATTTATTATCAGAGATTCAGAATCATTACGAGAAAAATAGAATCGAAATAAGTAATGCGAGAGAGGATGATTACGTAAAATTCCATGTAGGATTGGATGTCAAGATAAAAAATATTTACATAATTTTATTTTTCATACTTTGTATTTCATATCTAAAT